TACTAGAAGGACTACTGATTTCGTTTTGGCATTTTGCGTTGATTTACTACAAGCGTTGTCACTTTTCAAATTGTTGTCACCAAATATTATCGCCCTGTATTATTATATTTAAAGAAATTAAACAATGAAGAATCTGCATAAATAAATGTTATTAATCTGCATAAAATTTGTAATTTTCTCATGATGAAATTTTTTGCTGCCTGACTAGTGGTTTTTCTGCTTAAAAATGACAAAATGTTATGAATTTTTAAAGCCAATTTAAGAATAAAAGAGCTGCCCAACCAGGATAGTGGTTAGCGGAGTTGACTGCCATCTCAAAAAGCCCAGGTTCGAATTCCAGAGAAGGCATGGGTGTTTGTAAATGTATGGTGTCTGTGCAGCATGGGGTCACTCTTCAACATGTGGCAAGCCGAAAGTCCACTCGAGAGGTTGGTGGTAGGGGCAGAGGGAGTAGTAGACCCTCAGACCCATCCCCCTAGGATGCTCTCCATCAAAATTGGAGTAGAACTAAGCAAAGATGTACCGTCACCTGTATGGTACTCAAGGCACTTGCCAGTGACAGGTGCAATCCTATACTTCCTGCCATGATAAATTTCATAGTCTTTTTCTGATGTTACTGTTAGATAACTGAGATAAGTCACAACAACAACAGAATAAAGGAGGTCTATATGACAAAATATTCACCAGCTTTATATTTTGCCATATAATTATCAGGCTACATTTGTCAGTTTTTGTTACAGGTTGTGATCAACGGGTTCCAAGTTGGCAGCCTATTACATTATTATATTATTTTATTACTTGGATTTTGTTCATGCATTTTCCCTCCATGCAGTTGCTTTTATGTTTATTGCTTCTCCATGCATTTGCTTTCAGGATTTTAAAGAATAAATTCCTTAAAATCAGTTTTTAACTTATATACTCTTTTAAAATTATAATAATTTCTTCCCCTCTGCAATAATTACACAAACACAGTATGCTATTTTTTGCTTTTCATCACCCCCTTTGCAATTTAAAATTTAAAATCCAGAAGCAAACACAGGTATTAACGGAAATCTTTTTAATCAAGGGTTGCCAATGGGATCAATGTCATTTTAAAGGGGGTCAATAGCCGAATATGCATCAGCAAATTATATGCCTAATCCAATCCAACTGATAACGAAAAAATTACTAACAGTACCGATATTTCATTGTTTATGGATATAAAACTTCATTGTACAAAGTCAAACCTTATTCAAAACATATGGGTAAGCTGAGTTTCCAAATTTTAGAAGCTACCCGAGAACAATATCCCAGAATAAAAGTTGCTATTGAACCAACATTACTGACTTTTCCTCTTCTTACCTAGTGGAAGCAGGCTTTAGTTAAGTCAATAATTTGCTACAGAAAAGAAGAAACAGATTGAATACGTTTGAAACAGGTCCCTTAAGAATTAAGTTAAGCATTTGTACACCAAAAAATTTAAAATAATAACAATATAAAAAATAACTTTTATTTATCAAATCCCAGCCTGTTGGGCACTAAGTCATTAGGCTGCATGCTCTTCAATACTCTTTCTCAAGACATTTTCTTCAAAACTTTTATTCATATTATTAGTTTAACTGCTATCTTTAAGTTAGTTATGAGCAACTATTTATATTATGATTATGTTATATGCTGTATATTACAGAGGAACCATTTTTTAAAAAGAGGTCCATGTAAGAAAAGGGTTTGGTTTGAATCATTTGATTATGGCAAAGCACTCAAGGACTATCTGCCTAATGGAAAGCACGCTCTCGCAGAGGACATTTTAAGGATAACTGGCTCACATACATGTTACACATGGGAAAACATGAAAATGTCCATGCAGACAGTCTATTTCCAGGGATTCAAACCCTAGACCACAATACTAATGTTTGAGGACTTTGCCACGCAGCCACTGGTGGGCTGAAATGGGTTGGGAAAGCTTGTTTTAGATCACAGGTATTAACAGAAAATTTTACAGATCATTCACACTTAATGTAAATGATTTTGATAATAAATTTTTAAGCACAAAAGGCACGTCTTATGGAAATTTGCTTCTATCTGACAGCCTTGATTTCCCATGGAAGTACATTTTCACTTAGCACCATGATGTTAATTTTATCCAACTCCTTTTCAGTTGCTTTCGAAAGTCTGTTCAATGTTCTAGGATGACATTTTCTTAAGGTTCACTTTAACAAGATGAAAGTGCAAAAGTCAATAGAAGAAGGGTCATCTGATTTTAGCATTAGGTGAGGTATTTCGCTAAATGGAATACATTTTATTTCTGTTTTTTTCTTTGCTAAATAAGCAGCAGTTGATGACTTAGACATGTGACTAGAGGTTTTGCTTATATGAAACTGAAATTTATTAATGTACTTTTCTTATAAGGTTAGAGTTTCTACTCCAAAATTTGGTTCTAAAACATTCTGCAGATAATACAGTTAATTAATATAAACCTTATTTGACATGTTTTTGAGTTTTAATTTACTGTTGTAATAAAACCAGAAAATTAACCTTTTCTTTTATTATATTTGCTTAAATACACCCACTCTTCATCGAGCATTATCACAAATTTTATTTATCAGCAGCTAAGTGTTTCTCATACAATTTTTTCCAATTTATTTTTCTTTCTGCAATATGCTTTGGCAAAAGCAAATGAACTTTAGCCTTAAACATCTTTTTTATCTTCAAACTTTTATGAATGATTTTACTTACATTTTACAAGACATTCTCATCTCCGATGCAACATAACTGAGTTCATATATTTTCTTTTAGAATCGGAGACTTTATTTTTATGATCCTTACCAATGTGACTCTGCACCATTTCCTAAATTTTTAGTTTCTCCAAGACGGTTTTTTCCTTTCTAATATTAATATATATAAAAAAACTTTTTTTTTTTTTTAAAGCAATAGCTTTGATTTTTATACCACTTTACAGTTTGCTGATTTGAGCATTTTCCCTTGGAAAGTGCATGCCTATAACTTTCAAGTCATATATCAATTTTAGGAGGTTTTTCCAAAATAAATTTCATATTCTACATTCCAATTAAAACAATGGCAGATGATTTTATGAAAATGGCAAATCTTTATCTGTTTGAAAATTTATATAGAAATCATTTGTGGAAAAAGCGAGTGTTGCTTTCGCGCAACGTCAGCGGAATAAGACTATGGATGTTTAGTGAGTAAGATTGTACTCGTGTGATGTTTCTTTTTAGTGGAGCGCAGGATTACTTTTTAGCTGTATAACATTTTATAAATCTACAAATCACTTTACTTGTAATTAATTTAATATTAAAATATACATTGTATTTCTTTTACAAATACAGATTATTTCATTTGAAAGATTCAAGCATGAAAGCTTGATTACAATCATGATGTAAAGCTACATTACATACTTTGCATCTATAAACAGTCTGGCTATGGTACTCTTTACAACAAAGTCTTTTGTTATCAACGGACTTTACGATAAAATGTCTACCATCTCCAAGCAATGGTTTTTGAATGCTGAATTTACTAGGTCTTCCTGTTGCTGATCTATTTCTGGCTAATTCTACACTCTCAACAGGAGGTCGCAAAAGGAATAATGCATTCTCGCGTCTGAAATCTAAAAGAGACTTTATATATCCAGTAGTAAAAAGTGGGGATATTTAGTAAGTTTAGATACGGTCTCACCTCATATAAATTATCAGTAGTGTCAATTTGACTATTGTCAAATGCAAATTCTGCTTATATTCCTGTACTGCAAACGTGATATCGATTCTCGTACAACACGAACAGAAATGTCTTTATCAAAAGACCAATGCATTTTTTCTTGAGGTAAAGAATAGCCTGTAAGCAATAATATTCCAATAAATCTTCTCATATAGGCTTCAGATGCAATACTCTGGGCATTTTCTTTTCTTTCTTTTTTTTTTTTTGCTGAGCGTATATATTTGTCTGTTCAACGAGAAGAGAGTAAATGTCTAAACCAAAAAGAAAATTGAAAATCTGTGCACTAGTTTTACCTTGTATTTTGTTTTTTATAATTTATCTTTTATCTCTTTCTTCATGTTCTTCCTGAGACATAACTAACAGTTCCTTTTTTATCCAATTCAAGATTTCAGTCTTCTGATTTTTAAACTGTTTAGTATGACTATAACTGCTTTTAGAAAGCTGAAACTTACTTCTTACATGAATTTCAACTTCCTCAGCAGTATCATTTGGTAAAATATCATTATTTAAAACATTTTCATTCCTTTCTTCTTCGTCACTAGCCTCTGCAATTTCTGGGGAAACAACAACAATATCAGTTTCATTCTGGCCATTATTAACATTATCATCATCTGTTTCTTCATCAAAAAATCTTTGAAGGGCCTCTTCTAATGTAAGATGCCTCGTTCTAGGCATTTTTAAACAACCAGAACATGAACCAGAACATTGAAAGGAATGAGTGAAAAAGGAGATTGACTACTCGTTTCCTGCTGATGTTGCGTCAACGCAACACCTGTTTTCCCTTCCTTCCCAACACAAATATACACATCTGACTGATGTAATGTTCTGATAAACAGTAACCTTGACTAAAAACAGATCACTCATAAATTCTTTCATTAAATACTTTCAGCAAAAATACCCGGCCGAAAATTTTGCTTAAAGTATGAGATTAATTATTATAAACAAAATGATTGTTGAAGGCAAATATTTTTTTACAAAAATAATCTTCATAATATTCCCTACACAAAATCATCTGTTGGTATAAAATATCTTAGGTAGTTATATTTATATACGCATTTATTTTGACCGTTGCATCAACGCAACACCAGCGGCTAACGGGTTAACAGAAATCTGTTATACACAAGGAATACCTTAAAATTGAATTTACACAAGTGGACGATATCTGCATATATAATTCAACAACTAGCATTTATCTTTCTACTCCAAATTTATAGAAATTGGGAAACATAATACTTTTTAAGTACTGAATAACAACATGAAATTTAAATATTAAAAATTGATATAATTACCAGAAGGAACAGGAATAGTCACTTTCTTTTTCTGAATTGTTGTACCTTGTCCATTACAAACTGTACAAGGGTCTTTGATCAAAACTTTAGTACCATTACATTTACGACATGTAGATCTCATAGTGTAAGGGCCAAGAGACACTGATTCCTGTAAAAATGTTTTAATACAGAATAATTTTATTTTATACAAGCTAAACTTTTCAAACTATCCATCAAAACTTAGAAAATGCATGAACCAGATTGCTAAATTATTAAAAATCAGCACAGAAAATTATGGATGAATATATATAATTTAATATGCATATTGTTGCATGTGCATGAGTTCATAATAGATTGAATGCACACAGCACCGATGATAGGTTGATAACATTTATTTTCAGTATCAAAAGATTATTTTTCTGTATCAAAAGAAATACTTCAGAGATCTGGAATTTTCTACAGACAACTCTTCATAATATCACAGAGTACAATGAGTAGTTACACATCAAACTACTATGAAAGTTGAACACAACGTAATGCAAAATAAATGCAGTTAAAGAGCGAAGCTAAACTAGAAATAGTACTCAGAACACAAACTGAGCTAACAGCCTAGAACAACAACTACTACTACTAAGAGCAGATACTCTCTCCGGCCTTATATAGTTTTCAGCTGGCCGTCAAGATATTTCTAGTACTTTTTGCTTCTCGGAATCACTCAAAGGCAAATCATGTTTACAGCTAATAATATAGTGATCATTTACATTTATTCAATTACAATATCTACTAGGGTGATACAGACACTGGACCAAAATGTTGCCAAATTCGGTGACAAAAATTAGTCACCAAAATTATTGCCAGCTTGGCGATGTCTCGCCAAATTACCAAGACACCCATTTACTCAATGTTAAATGAACTTACCCCTATATTCTTACTTTTCCAGCAGAGCTTGCCTCTCTTGATGTTTCATGTTAAAATACACAAACAAATACAAAAGTTTACATATAACGCCACAAAATCATCTACGTATAAAATTTGTAACACTGCCCCCCCCCAAGGACAGCACGTCTCAGGCAGTACAATCCCTGGACAGGAAGCCATACTTACAACTAAGGCAAAATCAATGCAGTACTTAAACAATCATTTCAATAAATAATATAAAATGAATCAAATACTAAATAAATGAGTGCACAAATTTAGAAACAAATAGTACCATGGTCTTAGTGTACTATTTACATTATATTGCAATGGTTTTTGTATTTAGTTTGCTACTTTTAGTAGAATTGTAATTATAATTGTTTTATTTTCTCGTGTAATGCAGCGCATGACGGGTTTTAAGAGAAAGCTACGGCGGAAAAGTTAAAGTACAGGAGCACACACATTTAATAAATAATATCTTATAATTTATTGTGATGTATCTGGCTGTGGTCAGCCAATCAGCTGCCTACCTCGCATTGCCGTAGCGAGGTGGGGCAAGGGGGTGTATGATGTCCCGTGCGCCAAATGGTCTCCAAACAAGATTTTCATCATATCACTGTGTTTTTTTCAAGGGGGGTTGTGCCCAAAAAGATATTTTACCCCAGGCGCCAGTTATGCTTGCTACTCCACTGTTACCTCCCGGTAAGAATCCAGCAAGTGAGACAGACAAGTTTTGTCTGGTGAATGCGTGGTAGGGCTACGCTCGAGTTGGAATTTTGAGTTTAGCCAGTGGGGCTAATTTAATTTGTAAGGTATTGAACACTTGTATTGGAGTTATTTTCATTCTGTATTCATTGGAGTTATTTTCTTAAATCATATAATATCAACATCATGTAAATATTTGTACATAAAAGTCATGTTTCTGGATAATAATATTGTTAAATTTACAATCACGTATTGTGTGATGTCTGCCATTCCAATGAGCACGGAATATTTATATTGAAATAATGCAATTGTGTGTTAGCTATAACTGTAATTCTCCTCTTTTGATTTCCAGAAACCTCAAGAAATTACAAGAAGCTTCTTGTTACTGATTAAAAAGCTTATAAAAGATGGAGAAAAACATCTCAGTTCAGTTCTTGTTGATTACTGAGCTGCTGTAATTTTGAGATTGGATTAGCTTTCACTATGCTCAGAATTGTGTTCTATTCAACGCTTCAGTAGTTTAAAATATAAATGCTGTGTGATATTGTATGAATATCTGTGAGGAAAAAGTTCAGCATTTTGTTTTATTTCTTGTGATAAGAATAAATTTTATTAACTTTTCATCAGACTTGTACATTCAATCTATTACTAACACATATGCATGCAACAATATACACTATGGGGAATACGTTTTATTGCCATAGTAAGGCATTAAACTTTTGTAATGAGCAACTTTAGGCTTAGAATTATGCTCCTACATTGTAATGTTGTAGCTTCCCTCAGCTGAGTTTCTTCCTCCTGTAGGGCTGCTATGTAGTTCTTTAAGAACATCCATAATCCAGGACCTTGGAAATATCAGCTGCCATCGCAATGCATTTCCATCATACGATTCAAACTTCTGATACAAGATACTGTTTCAAATATGAAGTGAGTCCCAAAGAGCCCAATATTTTGTTATAATACTATAGATGGAAATGTCCTGCCAGGTAGGTTTCCTGTTTCTGAAAACTCCATAAATTCAATTATGGGTTTACTGTTGCTGTCTTTCAACTGGTCTTTCCTGACTTCTTCGTCATTTCATGGGTCTGGGTTGGATGATGCTGGATTCCTAGCTTGATACACAACCAGACTAAGCAGCTAGTGTTTCTCTTCGACAGTGAAATAATAATGGCAGCTTTTCGAGATGGGTCTTTCAGACAGAGCTTTTGCATTTCCATCTAATAGTCCCTTCCAATGACGGATAGTTATGCCCACTGTCAGAATGCAGTTTTTTATTTTTAAAGTCTAAGTAAAATTTGTATTTCCTTAAAAGGTCTAATCCATGCACACAAGGATTTGTAATATCTGCCACACATGCCATGTGATGATAGGCAGCACTTCCAAATGTAATGCTAATATTTAATTTCCCATCATTTTTTATTTTATCACTGGACACAGTCTGGAGGGTAATGCAGGGTGGCATCTAAAGGCGTGTACTTTCCAACTGTTGAGCCAAATCTCTTTCGATGATGGTAATGTTGGCTCCTGTATCGATAGTCATCTTGCAAGGAACTCCATAGATATGTCTCATGATGAAAAGTCTATTACTGCTGCCACTCACTGCAAAAATCTGAAGCTTTTTAAAATGGAGCTTTTTATTATCTGACAAAAGCCAAATCTTTTTCAATGATGGTAATGTTCGCTCCTGTATTGATAGTCATCTTGCAAGGAACTCCATAGATATGTCTCATGATGAAAAGTCCATTACTGCTGCCACTCACTGCAAAAATCTGAAGTGCTTTAAAATAGAGCTTTTCATTATCTGACAAATTCCTTTCTATAAGATGGCTACTAATTTGTTTCCTGGCGAGTGGTTTTACTTTCCGTGCCGTGGGTGTTTTGCAGTTCCTTTGTATGTGGACTTTACCACCGCAGTTGCAGCCCTTTATGGTCAGTTAGTTGCGACTCCAGTTCTGTCACAAGATATTAATTTGTCTGGTGAAATTATCTGTCTTATTTACCATGCCCTGAGGTGTTCTGCAGTTTATTCATACATGGCCTTCACCACCGCAGTTCCAGCACTTTAGGATCAGTTTGTTGCCACTTCTGTTCCTAATCAAGGCATTGACTTGCTGGTTAAAAATCATCTAGACGGGCATTCAGTTGATTCTCTGTCTCCAAGACTTGAGCTCTGGGTGGTGATCTCTATGAGATGCTTGCTGGGCTGCCTTGAATTTCATGGTGTGCACCAGAGCACTCCTTGACATTCATCACTCGCATAGCTTTCTGTATTTCAGGATTACGAATGCCATCGATGAAACACTGCAGGGACAAGATTTCTCTTGTTTCTGTCAGGTACTCCGAAAGGCGAGATGAGGCAACTTTTCAACATGTGTGGTGAATTCCTGGAATTTTTTCCATGGGCTTCTACTGATGATATTTTAATTGAAGTCTGCTATAGTCTTTTAAACACCTCTCTCCAAAGCGCAGCTCTAAGGCACTGGATCGAGCTTTTAAGATCTGGTTTTTGGGTAGAATCTGAAGAATATCTGCTGAGTTTGCTCTCACAGAAGGATTGACATGGCAGGCTTTAGCTTGAGAATCCCATCCATTCGTGTCCACCACTACAGAAAATTGTGTCTTATACATTTGTCAGGAGGTCTTACCATCATATGTGGATAGCTTTAGAGAGGGACGAGAAGGCATGGATAAAAATTTAAAACCATCAGAATTGCTCTCATCACTATGCATTTCTTTAAGGTGTCAATTTCTTTGGCAATGGCAGCAACTCTGTAATTGATTTGTCTTTCCATGCCAGAAACTATTTGTCCTTTGACAGAAGGAACTCTTTCTTTATTTTGCCCCAACTTTATTTCTAACCACATCTATTCTAGCCTCAGATTTGTTTTCTATCATGGCAGAAATTTCCCTTTTCATTTCCACCTGTCCAGCTTTCTTTACTTCGTTTATGGAGCTGATGGCTTCTTCCATCTTTTCTTTAATGGATTCTTGACTAGCTTCAACTTTTTTTGGAATGGGGCAGAGGCAGTTATGAGCTGTCTTAGTTGCTCCTCCATCGGTCATGTCACTGACATTCAGTCCCACTTCCGACACCAAAAAGTGTTGCATGCATATGGGTTTGTAATAGACTAAATGTGCACAGCTTCGATGATAGGTTGATAAAATTTATTTTATCAAAAGAGACACTTCAGAGATCTGGACTTCCTGCAAAAATAGTGATACAACTCTTCGCACTATCATAATCAGTAGCTAAACTTCAAACTACTATGAACATCAAACACAACACAATGCAAAGCACAGCTAAAGAGCAAAGCTACACTAAAGTCAGTACTTGGAACACATGCTGAGCTATCAACCAACAAAAACAACTACTACTGACAGCAGATGCACTCTCTGGCCTTATATAGTTTTCTTCCAACCACCAAGATATTTCTAGTACAGTCAAAAGTCGTTAATTCGGACACCCATAATCCGGAATGATCTATAATCCGGACCTCAAAGCTACAACCTTTCTGCGCATGCGTCAACACGCGTGCGCGTAAGACCTTT